CCCCACAACAACGATTCGCCCCACAACAACAATTTGCTCCACAACAATTCTTTTAATTTCGAATTTGATTCAAAATAAATAGGAAGTGTTGAGATGAATCCCATTGAGTCTTGTCAAATAGTTTATCAACCTTCAAATAACATTTCCATTGGGATATATTCTATTTCTCTCGATAAAATATGAGGCTGTGAGAATGAAAATGGCAATACAGGAATAAACATTCTGAAACGCATCAAGAAAAAGAAATTCGCAAAAATGAATCATGAGTTCTGAATATGCAAAAGTGAAACATGAATTTACATGGACAGCATAGGAGGTTCATGGTTCACTTTTGCGTATTCAGAACTCATGATTCACTTTTGCGAATTTTTTTTTCTTGATGCGCTTCAGAATGTTTATTCCTGTATTGCCATATTCATTCTCACAGCCTCATATGTTAGCCAAGGATAAAAAAATAGCGAAAAAATACGATAAATTATTTTTGAAAGAAAACTCAAAATCTGATGATTATTCATATCAACATTCTTTTTTGTTAATCCTATCACTTCGAAAAATAAACAAGTCTTTTTTATAATATAGAAAAAATGATTCTTCTTATTGATGTAGCTACTTGTAACATGTCGAAATCATTCTCAAGGTGAGATTTCCCACGATACATTTGAGCGCAATTCGAAGATAAGAAATTTGAAGGTAATTAAAAAACCGTATTCTAAATGGTTAATAGGAGGAAAAAAGTCTAACCTCAAAAAATAGTCTTTATTTAAAAAAAAAAAATGGTTTTCTGGTTCAGAACTATTTCCTAGGATTTATCATTAAAGTTTTATGGGTTTTAAAATACACAATCGATACAACCACTGCATACAATTAGCCAGCCAATGGATTTGCATGAATTGTCACACTGTTAATTCTCTTCTCAACTAGTGGTTTGTATGTTTTTGGATTTACGGACAATTTTTCGAGTTCATCAAGTGCATCGAAACCATCGATAATTCGACCTGAATAGAATGAAAAGAAAATCGCAATTGGAAATATCATTTTTGAAAGACAGGTGTGTTCAGTGAGTTCCATCAATAAAATGCGTTGAATAGTCAAAATATTGTATTAATTTGTTTGCTCACCAAACAATGTGTATTTCAAATCCAAATGCGGTTGTGCGGCGTATGAGAAGAAGAATTGGCTTTGATTGGTGTTTGGGCCCGAATTGGCCATGGATACCATACCGCGATCCGTATGCTTAAGATTATCTTTGAATTCGTCTTCGAATTTACGATTCCAAATCGAGTTACCTCCTTTGCCAGTGCCCGTGGGATCGCCTGTTTGAACGATAAACCCTTTGATATTTCGATGAAACAACGACCCATTATAATAGTCCATTGCACATAATGCTAAGAAATTTTCACAAGCTTTCGGACAATCCTCACAAAATAGCTCGATTTTTATATCACCAACGTCAGTGTGCAGCGTAACCGACTAGAAAAATATAGAAAAAAATATTTAAAATGTTGAAAATATTACGAAAAAAATTGCATTTACCATTTTTGCCTTTGGAACTAATACGTTTGTCAAGCGAATGTTTATGTTTGAGATTGAGGTTATGCCAATTTGCACTCATGTTTGACGTTTTTCAAATGAACTGAACATTTGACACTTAACTTCAATCGAACATATTTGGCAATCGACGTGGATAGTTGGACATTCACTTCTTCTGCTTTCAAATCTCTACCAATAAATATTTGAACAACGAAAAGGAATAAAAAAAAATGAATGTGAGTTGCATAGAATTTTGAAAACCAAAACAAATTGTGAATCTGGTGTATTGAAAATGATTTTGTGTATTTTTAGGAGCAAAATATTCCAATTGACATTCATATCGGGAAATTGCTGGAATGGTTGGTGAGTCGTCATATTGTTGCCAAGAATTGGCATACACGAATTCCCGAAATTCGAAATAAAATTGGCCATGCCATCAATGATATGCCAAGTCATGAGCAGCTAGTTAAACTATTGTCAGGAACTCGTAAGTCACTTTGGATTTCTTATTATTATTATGTGATCGCAAAGGGAACTAAATACTAATTCGAAACTATTTACAGATATCCATTACTTTCACTGTTTACAAATTATTGAAATTTTAAAAACCACCGAAGCCGACACAAAAAGTGTTTTCGGCCGCTATGGCAGCCAGCGTATGAAGGATTGGTTGGAAATTGCTCGGCTCTATGAACGTGATAGCATTTATTTGGGTGAAGCGGCACAAATTTTAGTACGTAATGTAAACTTTGAATTGCCTAGTGTAAAAAAGCAAATTACGAAATTCGATCAATTGATTGATGAAGCGTTGAAGAAAATCCAAGATCAAACTGCAACTGAAACCGTGCTGAATGCACAACGAGCGGCTTTATGCCAAAAATTGGGCATCAAAGGTGAAAATTTGCGCGACGAATTCGTCGAGAAATTGAAAGATCTGCCGAAATTTTATGAAGAAATTGCGGTACTAGCGAGAGAATTGAGCCAAGCCACCCAAATATATGGGAAAGGATCGAAGAATGAGGAATGTTTACCAGTTTTACGTCACATCATCGAGAAGGGTAACACAACCGCATATGAGTACATACATCACGAGGCACCATTATCAATCGAAGAACCACCGGTTGAAATCAAATTGACCATTGATGTTAGCGGTGGTGCTGGCAACACGGCCAATGAAATTGATTTCGGCGAGGGCGACGGTGGTGAGATTGATTTTGTAAATGACATCGATTTTGGTGGAATTGAAAGTGGCAGCGAGGTGACGCTGCAAACGGGTGATATCGATTGGGGACTCGATGAACCAAATGCCGAAGAGATTGATTTTGACATCTCGTTAAAGGACAGTGGCATCACAATCGAAAGCAGCGGCATGGCAGGCGGAGTTGCTAGGAACAATGAAGCACTCACCGTTCTCGATAGCCCAATTTACCGTGAACAATTTCTAGACGAATTATTTGAGGTAATTTCATTTACCACAATCCTACATACAGTCAGAATATTTCATTTTTAAACCGATTACTGCAAACAATACGGGGATTCTTTTTCACTTTAAACTTATGCAGTTGGAGGCATTCTTGAAGATGCGACAATTTGAATTGAGCTCATTAGAAAATTCGAATACGGCAACGTTTTTGTTTTTGGAAGGTATGGATGACCATACGGTAAAGAGCATTTCACCGATAATCCTCGATGTACAGGCGGTTTTGGAAAGGGCAACCGATGAACTACTTCAACATTTGTATCAGCTGAAACATTCCGAAAAGTACGTGTTGAGTGATGATTTCATGTCATGCCGAAAAATCCACTTTTATTGCAGCTTCGAAAATCCAAATGCAATTATTGTTCATTTGAAATTTATCATTTTTAACACTAAAAAATGTGCGTACAAATGAATTTTCTTCAATTTTTCCAACAGATATGCTGACGTGTTAGCGGAAAAATTGCAGCAAAAAGTAACAGCGGTGAAAAAAATCGAAGCTACGCGCAATATTTTAAAGGAGAAAATCGAGCAATTCAAAAACGAGAAGACTAGCATACAACCGCTCGTTGGCAAACTGACAGAGCAAACAAAAATACTTCAAAATAAGGTAAATTTGATGAAAAAAAAATCGCTAAAATTTATGCACAATTTTTAAAAAGCAGGACTCTCAGAGATATTTTCCAAAAAAATATACTAAACCAATTCTATTTTACTTTCAGATTGCCGAAGATATATCAAAACGATACAAAAACCGTCCGGTTAATTTAATGGGTGGCCTGAATTTCTTCTAACTTTTTTTTTCCATTTTAAATTCGGATTTCAAAGAAAATATAGAATAAATGAGATGGTGCGATGAAATAAAAAAGCGACTTTTTTACTCAATGTTAAATGCATTCATTATGTTTATCTTATGTTTATTTACAATATTGTTTTCTGTTAATGTAATGTAATCAAAAAAAAAAAATAAAAGAGAAACCATTTGTTATTCAGCTAAGGTATTTTGGGGCCGTTTGAATTTGCTTTGAACAAAAATTCGGTCTTTATCCACGTTTTCCTTGATATTTATCGTTTTTCGGTGCACATATTCATTGGCAAGAATGTCAAAGCCGACACTTCGCACCAATTCATCGAGTTCATCCGTTGAGAAGTAGTAACTGCGTGTACCATCTTGTCGCATATAAAATTTTTCACCAATTTTATTGCCCGGTTTGAATCGAATCTGTGCCATATCATGAAGTCCATAATCACGGAATAGTAAAGTACCGCCTGGTTTCAGCAATCGAAACATCGCCCTGAGAACGGTTTCAAATTTAGTTGGATGAATTGCCGATAGAACAAAAATCATTGAAATAATATCCACGGAATTCGGTTTGATTGTTTCGAAAATCGTGTCAGTTGTGATATCACATTGGAATGCGCGAATAATGTCTTCGTTATACAGTGGATTTTGTTGAACAAAATCGATGGCACGTTGACTAAAGTCACATGCATAAATGAAGTAATTTTTATTGAATTGATCTTCAATCAATGGAAATACGAAATTGCCAACGCCGCAACCAACTTCGAGTAGAACGCGCTTTGAGTCACCGTCATTTTCATCGATTAATTCTTGAAATTCACGCGTTGTCCAGTGTCGATCACGAAAGAATCTCGTATCGTTGCGTTTGTAGAAAAGGTCCCAATTTCGTCGTGCATCCGTTTCCAATTGATTCGCCTTAAATTCGGTGACAAGCCGTGAATTCTGCCGATCTAACAGATCAGTCTCCTCGGACGACAGAACTTTGGTTCCCTTGATCGACTCCCAAATATCCGACATTGTATGTTCGTCAACTGCACGACAACCACATTTGTAAACAAAACTCAATCAAATGAAGTCTATCAGCATCGTCTAAAGTACACATAACCTCAAATGTCATTGTCGACACGAAATACAGCGCTCAGTTTGCGTTTAAGTATGCTCATGTACTTATCATGTGTGTGTCTATGTGCATTTGTTTTTGTTGTCAAACGAATGGAAGTGTCTGTTCTTGTTTTTCGGTGATAGTCAACTGTCAGGCGTATTTCCATCCTCCATACATTCAATTTTTTTTTCCCTTTTCGTAAAATGCACCGAACGCATTCTGAAGTATTGATTGCATACACATAGTGCAAACTCTAATTAAATCATCGGAAAAATGTTAACGATAATTCAAATGGAGGGTTCTAATTCGTGATAACAACACAAATCGCTTTTCGTTCGAAACAAACCAAGCCAAATTATTATTATCTGGAATATGTTTTGTGTGCGTGTGTCAAATGCTCGAAATCGAAAAAGCAACAAGACAGCGGAAATTCATATTGTGTACAAATCAGGCTAAGTTTTTGGGTGTTGTTGTGTTCTATTTGGGTTGACTATTTCTTATTCGGTAATTTTTTTTTATAGATAAATATATTCGCACATTTGCCTAACGAAATCACGACAGATTATGTACAATTTGTATAAGAAAGCAATAAAACAAACAAAAACGGACTCAGTTTTTTACGAAAATCCTAAATTAAGTGTACATGTGTAATAGGAAAAGCCCAAACAAAACATATTCTACAAGTAAATCGCCTTTAATCGTGAATGTGTTCTAATTTTCTTCAAATCGAAAGTGTTTTTTTTAAATGGAAACACAAAAGTTACAAATGAGAAACAAAGTATGATATTGAAGTGGGAAGAGCCTTAAAATCAAATCCAAATTTGCTTTGTTGTCATTACATTCAACACAGTAAACTGCACAACACGTTGGACTCAAATTTATTTACTATCTGCTTTGACTGATATCGCCTTCATACTTGATAATATTGATTTTGGTTCGGGATTCTCTTCGTTCTTTTTTATAAAAACATGAATGCGTGCAACACTCGAAATTAATGCATCAAACAATAGGCGCTAAGCAGTATCATTTGTGTATGGAAAAGTGCCACGATCCAAATAAAAAAAAACCGAACGTATGTACAACATCTGATCAGTTTTCAGTATTTACTGCTGCTGTTGCCGTTGCTACTGTCGTTTCAAAAAAGCTGAATGCGTGTGTGGAAAGTGGAAAAAAGGTTACGAACACCAACAACAACAAAAAGTTAATTCACTCAATAATACCGATTCGCATACCAAAAGCTTTTTTGCGCCACCAGCATTTTCTTATACAATTTATCAAACTTATTTTCCCCCGTTTGATATTGGGAAATCAAACGAAAGCTTTAAGCTGAATGCACAAGTGCTTTTAATTCTTATTTTTCCTTTTTTGCTTGCGGAGTGTTTTTTTTTTTTTTAAAAAAGCTTTTTTGGTTTCAAAACGAGAATACCATTTTAACGGACATTTTGCACACATTTCTACTACTCGTATTTCAACACATCGCATTTCGAAAGGAAGAAAAACAAAAGTTTGAAGATAAATTTGATTTTAAACAAACAAATTTGAAGCGAAACACACCTGCGCTAAAAATTTCGATTACCAAGTAAGTTCGAACAATGAAAATGGATGACGAATTAATCGATGACGTATTCGAAGACGATCCAAAACATTATTACCAAAACACTGACACTGGACTTAATTTCAACGAAGTTAATTTTCTCGATGAACAAACACCATCGCCAACGGGCAAACATCCGGCATTCCGAAATGTTGACCTAAAATCAAGCAGCGGAATCGACGATGATGGATGGAAATCATTTAAAATCGAAGATGATAATGGATTCGATGAAAGTCTGCTGCACAAGGTAACACAATATCCAAAAATCCATCTTCCCCCCACATACAAAAATATAGAAGAATGAAAAATGATGTTTAATGTGAATTGTTAGAGCAAAAATAACAACAACAATAATCACATATATTTATGAAATATGGCAGAAACAGATGAAAAAAATAAATTAAATAACAACAACAACTTGAAAGTATTACACACTGCTTACAAGGCATTCGTGCACACGTCAAACATAAGCTTTAATTATTGTCTATTTACTCGCTTTTGCAATGCGAATAAATATCCTATAGCCACTATCTACAAGAGTGTATCTCAATGTAACAACAGTGAATATATTTGGTTCCGTTCTTTCATAGGTCATATTACTGGGAGACTCGGGAGTTGGGAAAACATCATTCATTGTTCGATACCATACGAATGAATTTAAGATGGCATCGTTTGCGGCGACGGTTGGCATTGCCTTAACGGTATGTATGTGTATCATATGTCATCTATTTTATCATATTGGCCAATCCATTGATGTGGATGTGTCCGTCTCATTCATTCTATATATTATTCAAAGAATGTTTCCGGTCCGGTGAAATCGAATATATTTTCTTAAGTTCACATCAAAAGCATTTGCCTGTTCTTTTTCATGTTAATAAAAGAAAACGGCAGATCCCATTATGCAATCACAATGTAAGATATGGTTGGTTTACTTCTAAACTTGAGACACTCGGTTAATATCGAAATGCGTACATCGAGGAATTGAACTGTGTAAAATGCGGCAATTGCTAGTTATTTGAAAAATGTGTGTCAAGTTCATTCTGGATTTTGATACGAATATTTCATTCAGTGTCGTCGAAAACGCAATTAAATTAACAAAGTTTACGGGTTGTTGTTTTTTTTTCGGTTTTCGAAACCAACGAGAAAAAACCACGCTACCCACCGACTAATTAAAGTGAAAATGTAACACGAGATTCAAGCTAAAATCGAACTCTTCTATTAAATTGAAAATAATTGGCATGGAAAATGGACACCACAAACGAAGGATATAGTTATATATACCGTACAGAAAAAAAATGAATATATAATTAAAAATTTAGTCGATAGATCCCTTTTTAAACTCCAACTTGAAATTAATTCATTTTTTTCATTAAATACGCATTTGATGCCATAGCATAGGCGCGCACGTTTCACAAGTGCACTCCGGGTGGATTCAATTCGCTTGCTCTCTCTCTCTCTCTCTCTCTCCTTCTCTCTCTCTCTCTTTCTCTCTCGTCGGATGGCATTATTCAATTGCAGCAGCAGCAGCAACAGCACCACAAGGTCGTATCATTTTGTGCATTGCACAATAATAATAATAAAACATCTGGGATTTCTCGCCGCAAACTGCAGCGCATAAACTGCTTGCATACTTTGAATGGATTTTACGGCAAGTGCAGATGAAATTCCATCTTCACAAATCTTAGTTGATTGGATATGAAAACCATTTAAGACAAAAAAAAAAACAAAACCAAACAAAACAAAGCGAGTTGTCACTACACATATGTGAAACAGGGAAAAATGGACTGTATTCTGGATGCATATGATTAATTCGATTGAAATGCAGCGTAAAATTATTCGCTTATTAAGGCCCCAGTGTTTTTTTTTCGCCTACGTCATAATAATACGCAATCATAGTATGTTTGAAATGAGAATGAATTTCGTAGGGGATTTGTTGTTGAACGTCTGATGAATATTTATTCATCTTTGAATTATGGCTCGTGGCAGCGCACACTAAATGCTCGCAATTTGTGAGCATAAATGAAAATTTAAAGCTCAACATAATTTTTTTCCTTATGTGTTTTTTTTTGGGCCAAATAATAATCCAAATAGGAACCTCATATATCAGTCTTACCTATGCTTTTTGCGCAATCTTCAATTTGATTGACTTACCTCACAAGTGAATTGCGAGGGGAAAATATCTCAATTATTTCTCAAGGAACAGAGAGAAGAAACAAAAAGGATTTTCCCGCCGCTCGATGTTCACAGTAATTTTGCCGCACATATTTTGGTTTCAACAAAAATTGACTACGAACACAGCGTTCACCAAACCGTATAATTATCAAGCCTACTCATCGTTGAGAAACAATGTCAAAATTGGATTTTTTCTTCCCATTCATTGTTGATATGGCAACAATTTTTTTTAATTTTCCTTTTGGATCGATCCAATCACAGGTTGTTACTGCTGCTGCTGCTGCTGTTTTTATTCATTTACATCAAATGCTCGAACATTGTTTTCCAAGCGAATGATATGACAGTCGAGTATGACAGGAGAAATTAGGAGCACTCATAATATTCGAAACATATTCAAATGAAAACTGAAATGTGTGGTTTTTCAGAGAAAATCACACCATTTCATGATTTGCTTTATTTTCTCATTCTAACCATTGGACGAAATCAGGGTGATGGCCAAATACTTGAAAACTTTTTCAATTTAAACCCATTTGAAATCGAAAGTTTGAATAGAACCACTATTCTATGAAGTTCTGGAAACTAAAAACATGCTGAATTGAATTTCGTTCAAAACCACGCTTTCGTCTATTTGTGTCCACTTTTTCACTCGCCAAAAGTTTTTACCCGAATATATTAATTCCAAGAATAATGTGATTACAATAGATTTTGGCCAGTGTCCGAATACGCATGATTGTAACATATTATTTGGCCAGGTTGTGAATATATATACGAAAAAAAACGTCAGGAAAATCTTTATTTTCATTCTCACTCCCACTGTAACAGCATTTCTCGATGAAACCATGAATAGGCTTACAAGGGAAAAAGCCGCTTAGCGTAAAGTTACTCGGAATCGTATTTGTGCATAATATCTCATGTGAATATAATACGTGTGATAAATTGCCGATAGTATTATGTATAGACGTTTCAATGTTCCATTGGTCGTGTGAATAATTTAGTGAGTCAGCTGCACATCTTTGCAAATAAAAATAAAAAATACATAGAAAATTAGTTCGGAAAAATGCTCGCAATCGTTCGTTACCAACCAATATGGAACGCAGATAAATACGCTATTCATTCCAAATGTATGAAAAATGGAAAATTAAATATTTACTGCCGTTTTTAGGTTTGCTCAGGTTGAGTAAATCAGCTTTAATTATAGTCAAAAGTCAAGTGTAAGGGACGTCGAAACTTTCGACTCGAAAGTCGTAGAAACTAAGATACGTTTGAAATGTCCAAACAACCTCTAAGTGTTTAGTACTCCGGAGTATTTATAAACTGGCTTCATTTTCACGAAAATGATTTAAAATGCGACCGCTTTCCGAATTTTCAATGGATTCACATTTTTTTAAAAGCACAATCTCTTCGAACATTTTTCTTTAGTAGACTTGATATTGGCTTGTCTTAAGAATAATATTGAAATCGATTTAAAACCCTTTTGATTTCTTCGCCATTTAAAATGCCACTGAAATGGTTTCAATTAAACAGCGTCAGCAACACACAATTTTTTTGTAACACATTCATGGACGTTGCGTGGAAGTTGCGTAGACGGTGCATCACAATCTTCATCATTTTTTTTCGGAGAAATTTGCAATGAAGTACGTTGGGCTTGAATTCAGTAAATGCCAGTTAAATGGTTTTTTTTTTCACATAAACCTTAATTGATTTCATTTTATTTTCAATTTTTAATGAGTACACTTATCTCATTATAATTGATTTGTTCGCTCACACAAAAATGATCGCCATTCATTGGCCAATTTATATCAACAACAATGTGTTATATACTTAAGCTTCAATTTCGCGTAAGTAATTTAATCTGTTTATTTAATTAAATGATGAACGGTGAATATTGTATGCACGCACTCACTTCATCGTTGAAATTATTGAGCTGGTTCGATGGAAACAATTTCAAAAGAAAGCCCACCCGTTAATTTCATCTAACAAGAAGAAAATCAATTTTGCGCCAAGCAATATTTATCTATTGCCAAATTGGCAATGTCAATACTTATTACGATGTGATGTAGAGAAGCTCGTTAGGACTAGTGATGAATTCAAGAAACGTTCAAGGAGTTAGTTTCATTGAAATATTCGATTATTGTTCAATTTTATTCGAAAATTGAAACTTTTCTAAATAAATTTCTCAATAAAAAATGTTAATTATCAAGGAAACATTCTGATGGAAATAAAATCTGTAAAATAGAATCAAATTCAGTCCCGATTGTGAAATTCGCTTCGAATTTTTGTTCGTCGTGACTAGCCAACGTAGACGTTAGTTAGACATGAAGAAATCAATCTATAAGCTGAACATTCAGATGAACTGATTTTCAATCAAAGAGCTCATGGCTCCTAGCTATTCGATACAGACGCAGGATGGTGATACTGTCATTTGGTAAGTGTGGCACGAGCATTGCTGCGCACCCAATTGGGCCATTTTCATTTCACAATATTTTATACTTTCAATCTTTTGTGCTGATGGGCATAATAGCTGCTCATCGTATTTTATTGTGTGAGTCACGACGGAACATGATTCAGACCAAATTCACAGAACAGTTTGTCGCCTATTTCTCAGTCTCATTCACCCACAGTGCACAGTTCACACTCAAGTATTTGCATTCAAATCTATTTTGAACTAGCCTCGGGGCGCTCGCGCTACGCGCTTTGCGCGTTTTGACTGGGGGACGAAATGTGCCAAAAATGGCATTTTGTATTGTTTCAAAATATTTTCTTTCAAATTCTGAAAATTCCCCAAAGATCTCCCATATTATTTATTCCAAAAATGTACCAAATTTTGACATTTGCTATTTTTGTGACATAAATATTTATCCCGAAAAGGTCATTTTTGCATTTGGTATTTTTATGACATTTGGTGTTCTCCTAAAATGGTTCCTTTCAAATTCGATAAATGTTCCAAAACGTATTCTGACCTTTGATATTTTTATGACAATAAACTGTTGTCTCAAAATGTTTCCAGTCCAATTCTGACAATGTCACAAAATATTTGTCACAAAAGGATCATTTGGCATTTGGTATTCCCCAAAAATGGTTTCTTTCGATTTCTGACAATTTCAGAAAATGTCCCAAAAATGTCTCAAAATGTCACCGGTGGAAAGTACATGTGTAGGAAATTCGGTCGAGATCAGTTGAAAACAGTACAAGGAGTTGAAGGAAAAATTTGTACGAATCGTTTTCTATTATATAGATATGAACTACCGTAAAATCCAATAACCTGAGATTCATTGCTCCCATTGTCAATTGTTTGAAAACAGTCGAAATATTGATAATTTGATTGAGTTTTATTCGTAAATGGGATTGGTTTTTTGAAGGGGATGTCATGATGGGGTGTGAGTTTACATGGAAACCCATTGTGATATGGCATGAGGAACAATTTCATTGGAATTATTTCTTCCTTTTTTTACCACATGACCAAATTTTGTGTACGATTATAAGCCAAATGAAGTGGAAAGAGACGTTGGAATATTTGATTTAAAATCATTTGCTACGCACCGTCATATGCTGATTCATATATTGTCGTACTCCACGTTGAAAAACATACGCAAGAATAAAGCCATACGTTCTGTGTGAACACGAGAAGTAGACGAATGGGGAAAAAAATAAAGCGATATGGTATTTGCAATGTAAAATTGAGATGTGTTTGTAGAGTACACATGTAAATATACGAGAGCCACTTTTTAGATGCTAAAAATGTACTGTCGAGACATGAGAGAGAAATAAAATCTCTGCCATATGGAAAAAGCTCAAGATCAGCATGACTTCGGGATTTCGCGTGCTTAATACATTCAAGTGTATTTGTTCTCAAATATCGATTACTTTAGCTTGATAGCATTTTCGTGAACTTTTTTTTCGTTATTTTTCGACGAGTGACGCATTTATTTTTTCACATCGTAAAAGGTGTGCATGGAGGGAAAAATGGTGTGCATGTGTCACATACTGTGTGAAAGATACAGACGTCGATATACATGAGCATTTGCTAAACGTATAAAAATATCAGGAAATACATCTATTAGATATGCCTACTGCAAGCAAAACATCACCTTTTTTTTAAACAGCTATTTTATTCGATTGCAACACCTAAAACTCACTAGCTCACTGAGTTCGAGTCTCAGTGGAACATTGATCGCCCAAAAGTAAAAAGAATAAACGGAAGGGAACGATACGAAAAGAAGCGATCAATATTGGCTCAATAAAGCGATATCATCATTATTTATTGTATGCGTTGGATATCTGCCGATGAATGTTGGGCGAAGCTAGCGAAAGGAAGAAAGTAAATCTTGCTTAAGACATCCATGTAAATTTGCACAAGCACAAGCGCACACACAGACAGATACTTTTTTTCTTAGATCGAAACGTTGTTTCGGTTTTTGTCGTGACAACAAGCTTGATACAAATTTTTTTTCGACTAAGGATTGTATCCTCTTTTTTAAAATACAAATCTTAATAAAAAACCGAGACTCATTGGGTCAAATCATTTACAATCCGAGCATCGTATTCTGCTTTCGGATATTGTCGTCTTGTATACCAAATTGTTGATGATTGAGTACTGCTATACCCTTTTTCCTATTCTTTTCTTTAAATTATTTTGTTTTTCTTGTATTTTTGTCCTATCCGGCGACGCTCGTCTCTAATAATGTTTAAATACATAAAGACACAAAAGTACAAGCGAAGGCCAAAATCTTCACGAACTACTTGCATTGTAAGTCTTTTCTATTTCAATAAATATCGAATTAGGGGGGAAAATCTCCTTTAATCTAAATGGCATTAGCCATCAACAACGATTACACGACGAATACAAACGTGCTCACGATTCATTCACCGAGGTCTGTACGTACACCGCTTTCTTTATATTGTTTCTTCTTCTTCGCATTGTTGTCCTTTGTATAAATACGCACGCACACACACATTTCACCTGTTCAACCTCAATGAAGAATACTTGAAGTTGTAGTATCTCTTTGAATCGCTTATTGCGCGTTTCTCGTAAAAATGTTCAAGTGGAGATTTGCCAACCATTACGATAAGCTAATAATGTTCTTAATACTCTTGAGTTTGTGTTGATTATCGACAAAATTCCTTCTTCATTTTGTTAATATAGATTTTTTTCATCTGTTGGCGTCGAGCGAATTTTCTTGATTTTCAACTGTAAATTCCCAAATGCCTTAAGGACATGATTCTTAATGTACGACTTGAAAATGGCACCGTGGTTACTCTCTATTATCATTGTAATTTTATACAGGAAAAAAATCGTACAACAATTTCACATGGAATACAAGTAGCGCGCAAAATCAAATGTTTGATTTAAGAACAACAACAAATAATAGCGTGCTCATGCTCACATATGCAAAGAGTTCATATTTAAATTTAGAATTCAATGACATTCCTGAGAGAAAGAGAGAGCAAAAAAATCAGTTCAGATTATGATACTTCTTATGATATGAGTGCATTTAAAAAAAAAAAACGTGAAAATCTCAAAATGGGTCCAGAAATCCAATGACTTCAAAGGGATTACACTTGATTATAAAAACGTAAGAAGCGTGTACGTTTTAATTACAGCCATGACAAATGATTGAGATTGAAAACGGAATAATGTTGAGACAACAATAAACGTCGTAATAATAATAATGATGATAATTTATTTCAAAAAGCCACAATTGAGGACATGTCGTATGTATTGTAAGCATGGCACAAGAAATGTTTCGCATCAATAGTGATGGTTGTCTACACGCAGCTAAATGCGAACACTGAATCATCCTTGCCGAAGAGATGAGCGCTATGAACCATACGCAAATACACCGAATCCAAGCACAAGATGAAGCCATACCACTGTAGCTTTGTCAAACACTCGCATACACTGTGTGCGGCACTCTTCCTCTTTCCCTTCCCCTACAGAAGAATCGGATGGAAAATTCGCTTCGCATAAACGTTTATATATACATACAATACTATCTGACTGATTTTTCGAACACGGCTTAGATCTATCCACATTTTTCGCAGCGATACTGTTTCAGTAGCCATTCACCTGTTGGATGATTTAGATGCGAAAAGAATATACACTAGCGCACGCATTATTTCGTTTTTCACAGCTAAAGTCGACCATCCGTTGAAGCCGATGAGCATTTATTGAATAAACTCTCAGTCCCACTCCATCAATAAATAGCGTCTTATAAACGAGCATTTGAACCATTTATAAAACAAAGTATTTTTTGTGTTCGAAAATAAAAATAAAATCAAGTGATTGTGATGTTAAAAAAGTGAATGTTTAACAATAGTAAAAATTCAATCAGTTTAAAGCAAAAGTTGTTTTGGGTCGTAAAATAATTTGATTTAATTGAATGTTTGTGTTTTACATATTTTCTTCCTTTTTCAATTATATAATCGCGCAAATGTGTTACCGTATTTTGCCCATCATTCGTTCAATAGAATTACCAAACAAAGTCAAACGAAATACACAAGACTTCAATACAAGAGAGGAAAGTGAAAATTCGTTCATGCTTTTTTTTGCAGCTCATTGTTGACATGTTGGTATTTGTAGAGAAATTGCAAAAAGAAACGAAACGAAAATAAAAAGAACTAAATCGAACAAAAGAAGAGAAAAAGTAATTTTGGGAATAAAAAAAAAATATAAAAAAAAGGAATGTGTATATTCTTCGGCTCGTCCACCCTCTTGTACATGGCAGGCATTTTCTGATGATTTCACTTCATTTCAATTTCAACAGTGCTTTTGTTTCCGTTTCAAATCCGGTGTGCAATTTCACACGAATTGCCATTAACAGTTATCCGTATTATTTGAATGCCCATGAAGAATGAACGGTAGATTTTGTTCCGGTGCGTATCCGTCCATTAGTCGGTTCGTTCATTCGCACGCTCTTTCGTTTTTTTTTTCTCCTATTCGCCAACAATGACTACAAATAGAAATATTTTGTTGAGTTGCATAAGAAATTAATTTATGTTGATTCAACGTAATTTTCCATCGTCATTTTCTCTCTAGACGCTATGCTGCTATTCTTTAAACTCGTCGTCGTCGTCGTCGTCGTCGTCGCATTTTTCTCCTGTTCATTGAATTCAGCAAATTTGATGTCCAATTGAAAACAGCCTTAGAAAAAAGAGACCGAAAAGTACAACAAACAAATAAAAAATATATATATCGTTTTCAACATTTCCACGAACAACGATACACTTTTTATTTGTTGCCTAGAGTGTAAAACTCCCTCTTATACATATATATATATATAGGGAAAAAAATCTTTTGTCTGTATGTGTTTATAACATTTTGTTTCATGTTTAAATCATGTTTGCACAGAGATTTATTAAAAATGGTAGAAACGCACCCATGGATCTCGTGACAGTGAACTTGATTTTCTTTTTTCGAAGATTAACGAAGACGACGACAGCAACGACATCGTCAGCTCCATTGTATGAGAAATGTGTTGAAGTAATGTTACTGCTATATGTACTAGCCATCGTATGAAACAATAGAACAGTACATTAAGTACACAATCAAGTGGGTCAGAATATTAGTCAGAATATGTGTAAAATTGTGTGTTTTTGTTTTCAATAAAGGATTTTAAAGCCAAATCGTCAACAAAACACTACACAAACATTCACATAATAATATACACATACAAAGTCTAAAGAGAATCATACAAAGAATCAAATGACCCATGATTAATCGCAAATAGTCTCGGCTTTAATGCGACTTAACGTCATAATTTTCATTGCTTGTTTCAGTGGAAAAACCAAATAGGTAGATAGAGTTAACTCTCAAGAGCAACAGCCTTGATATGCACCGTTTTAATCTAGTTAATTCAATTACATGAGCTATTTTTAATGAAATCAATGAAAAAAAAAAAACGACAAGAGCGAGAACATTTTCAATTTCAAATTCGCCTGTTGAGTGGAATGCTTCAGAAATTTTGAGAGATTAAATGAAATTTCTTAAACCAACGATGAGAGACATTCAGACGGACATTGAATGTGAATCTAATGCGCCCGAATTTCGTTTTTCGATTTTCATTTCCATTGACGACCAGAAACCATTTTCTGTTCAACGACACAGCAACTGAAATCATATTGTTGAAACTCCAGATTAAAAGCTTTTCAAATCGATTATTACTGCTGCAAGATTGCAAGAGAGAGAGAGAGAGAGGGAGAGAGAGAGAGAGAGAGAGAGATAGAGAGAGAGAGAGAGAGAGAGAAATACACGCACACACATACTTTTGATTCAACACTTTGTTTTGATGATAACGTATCTAAACATACTTATCACACTTTTATAAGGTCGTTCAATGTTATTGTCTCGCTTTAATACGGTCGATCATCATTTCTTATAACCTTAACATTTCATCAAGACTGTCGTTGAATTTGAGAATTTAATACTTTCATAAAATAAAATCATCAACAATATGATGAACTCAATCACTTTTTCTGCGTATTGAATAGAACAAGCACAAAGTTTTAAGTCAATTTCGAAAAACTTGATAAAAAAAAACAAACAAGCATGATGTAGCAGACGTTTATTTTATCATCTGAGACCGAAGGTCATTTCGAACAAACGGCCTAGAAAATCTTCCCAGAGAAAAAAGCATCGAAACAATGAGTATGTTTCCCACGAGCTCTCTATATTTGTGTGTGTTCATAGAAGTTTTTTCTTTTCATGAAAAAAGCTCGTTGAATGATCGAAATCCGATTTCTACGAAAATGCAAATTTTATGGTGTAAATCATTCTTCGATCTTGAAATCATTTAATATAGCCGAGAGTTTTACTGTATCCATATGGATGACAAGACAGAGTGAAAACTTATCGGTAATCGCTTAATGCTTACTGAATTAATGATGAAAGTTTTCATGTTCGTACTCCGCCTTAGATATATATGTTTGTTGAAAATATCCCCGGTAATGACGCAATGCGGTGGGGAACGGGAGGTGTTTGTTTACATAAGTGGTTGAACTGCTCTGAAAACCATCCACTCCATTCGGTATCAATATCATATCGACACATTTGCATAAATTTTGTCTTTTCTCCAACAAATCAACTCGATGAATACATATTCAATGCACACACGCACACGTGCGTACACAATGAATATCGGATAGGATTTCTCGTTTTGAATAACAATGGATGGCATTCTACTATACGCTTAATGATAAAAGTGTACAATTTTATGCGAGAGATTTTACACTTGATCAACGAAATTTGTTTAATTGGCTACGCACACACACACACACACACACACATGCAATCAGAAAATGTGTTTCGATATTTTCCCAAACCTACGTTCTACGTACGATGTTCGATTATTTCACCAATATTCAGTTTGTCTTATATTGTCGGATCATCCCTCTCCTCTAATTTTGCACGAACCGATGAGGTCATTCATAGTAACAGTTCAATTCGAGACGAGTGAGAGCACCCGTGAGCGAGCAAGAGATACAGCGGTGGAAGAAACCATGAAAACATTGACACAAAATGTCAATTTAATTTGAATGACGTCAAATCAGCTAGTTTAATATCGAACTAAACGAAAGCATTTTAAATCTGTTTAACGTTACGTGATGCAATTCAAAAATGATTGGCTAAGTTTGCTTGTGTGTGTATATGTTTTTTTTCCAGTGCGTAGGATTCATTGTTTTCCTTATCAATTGGTGCACAGCATTCGAATATGATGATGACGACGACAACAAAATCGTGTTCGACGAACAACATAATTATGCAATACACGAGTTAGTCTGCATAACACAATCCAACGAGTCATTTTCACGGTATTTCTCCCCATTTCGAAAAAAAATTGACTTTTTCCCTTCTTCGAAATTTGGTCGCTCTTTGAGCACCCTTTGCAGGAAAAAAAGGGGACGAAATTAAAAACAAAATCGATGAACGACGCAAGATTGATGCAAAAAAAAAAATAAATAAAAACAATTTACTGGTTCCGTTAAAATCACTCCTCCTTAATTTTTTTTCTCTGGTATAACTTTACATAGGGGGACCACACAGCTTTCACTTAGATTGACTGTGAATTGAGGCTTGAAATAATATATAACTTTAAGGCCTTGCTTCTAATGAAAACTCGTAAACAACTTTCCGAATTTTTGGATAATTTATTACCTTGTACTATGTATGATACAAGCGACTTTATTAAAATCATGCCCAACCACAACACAACTCAATAAAAATTTCATGGAAACTTAGACGCAAGGCTGTGATGCGTTACCATATGCGCCAGACTCGTTTATAGAATGATAAACGACAACAATCACAAAGACTAGATAAAGTTTGGTTGAGTTTTTTTTTTTTGCGTTGACAACTTTCGATACTACCTCTTTCGGAGAGAAAAAATCGGGAAAAAGTATATTTCATCATATAAAATCAAAACGACGACGAAAGAGTGGACAAATTGAATCGGTAAGAATAATCTTGACCTGCCAAATTGAGTGAAAATAAATTTGAAACATAGAGTTTTTTTTTTATATGGAGTTGTTGTTGCAAAGTCCATATAAAAAAACTCTATGTTTCACATTTATTTTCACTCAATTTGGCAGGTCAAGATTATTCTTACCGATTCAATTAAGAGTAAATGATATTTTTACAGAAAATTTAAATGAACAATTTTAGAATGTTCTGTTGATAAGAAAGAACAGAACTGTTTTGTTGATAATTTTCAAAGTATCAACAACGTTTCACAAGGCTATTGAATCAAATGCGAACATTCAACTGAATTGTAATTGTAAAATACCGGTTTAAATTATTAGCGCTCGAATTACATCAGCCAATTACTCAGCGATGAACTTCACCAGTTAATCGGCTGGTACACAGTACATTTGACCAGTTGCAACTTCGGTCAAACATTGTTGTTGAGGATATGCATCAAAGCATACTGTGACTCGTGTATATGGTTTACCAGTTACACCGTGTGTGCACAGCGCGCGAACTGAGACGAAGCACCACTTCGTGAGAAATCGCGCGCCATGCACACTGGTAAACCATATACTCGAGTCACAGTATGCTTTGATGCATATTCGCAACAACGAATGTTTGATCGAAGTCGCAACTGGTCAAATGTACTGTGTACCAGCCGATTAACTGGTGACGTGCATCGCTGAGTATTTCAATTACCCAACTGAACATTCGACTGAGCAATAACCAAGAAAAGTGATTGAAACAGATTGATGTTATTCTATGTTGTGTACCATTGCTTTGATAATAAATCATTTACCTCAACTTCATGCATCCTTTTTCCAATTTCGATGCTATTCACCATACAATTATATCCATAAAATTGCAATCGATTCGAAAAAGGGTAGGAAAAGCAGGAATGTATTCTGATTCAATTGCATGAAGAACCACAAACGATATTTAATCAAATTCAAGTGCTTACACGTTCGAAATGCTCGAATAATATTTTATTTCGTTGTAGAATCAAAGTCACACAACCATTTCATTCGATTTCCTTTACCATCATTTGCGAATGTCAAACCAATCTGGATGGAATAGAAAAAAAATCCGATGTCCGTAATGATGCAAAGTTCTTTGAAGCAGAATATTTTTTTGCCATCTATCGCACTTTTGTCGGAAAAAGCTTTCAGCGTTCAGTTTGTTTGAGTTTTTTTTTTTTTAGCAACCTTAAATTGCAACGAACAAAAAAGCAATCACATCGTTTAATAACCTTCGCTCTTGTGACGCTAATTATTATTCAGAACTTGAAAAAAAGATGTTTGTTTTCCGCGTTGAAATTTCATTTGAGTAAAAGCAGTCAAGGAAAGCATGTCAACGCATGAGCTGCAACACATAAATCGTATGCATACAATGCATGCAGTTGGTTGTATGTCTGAAATTGTATTTGGATTTGCATTTGAAATCGACCAAAACGTATTTTCATTTTCCCTTGTCAAAAAAACTGTTTTCAACACAAAAGCCATGATTCTCTATTGGAAACTGGTTTGTTTGCTGGAAGTAAAACCGACAAATAGTGTTTGCATTTTAAAATTTTTACTCGTTTTGGTATTTGCAGAATATTGAATGTCATAATCATTGAACTATATAAATGTTTTATGCAGATATTGAAATGTTTTATCAACAGAAAACAGTGTTTTATTCAATTCAACATTCAAATTGAAACTGAAGTTTTTAAGGTTAAAAATTGTGTAAAGTTCAGTGCAATCAGATCAAAATTGTATAAAATATTATAAAATCTCAATTGGACGTTTTTGTGTCTCTTTCTCTCTCTGTGTATGTATTTGTTTGTATATTAAGTACATTACGTATTAAAGACGAGAGAAAAACGCTGAATAACCAATAAAATGAGTAGCTTTTCATTTAACACCAACCACATTAATTACAATCAAAGCACACAAAATACTCAAAACTCGCCATCGTATCGACAACAACAACAGCATCAGCAGCAGGCATATAGTCCACAGAATTCGCCACAACCGCACGAACATCAACGGCGGGAGTCTCTAGTGAAGCCCACATGGCAGAATGTGTGCCCGGGTGAGGTGCCATTTGATACACTCGAAAAGCTCAATAGACTATGTAACGGTGAACAGCAGTCAATTCTATTACAACAACAGGTATAATTAACCAAAACCAAAATCGAAATACACACTCACAGTGGGATGGAAAATAGTATATATTCTGACCTTACCTTCTAACCACCCATTAAACTGATTACACTGTAAATGATGAAATTATTGTGTGCTAAAACAGAAATTCCGCCAACAAACGCAACATCAGCAAAACAATCATGCAAAAGCAGCTCAGAACAACATTGAATCGTTATCTTCGGCCACTGATTCATACCGCGGCGACACTGGCATTGACAATGATGATGCTGCGACGGACAACTGTACAGGAAATATGATTAACCGGAGTGGGTTTAGTGATAGTACAACAGCAGCAGCAGGAACGAGCAACAGCAAGCAATTCACAGCAGCATTAAAAGTGGACAAACAGCAGCGACGACAAGTCGAATTGTACGACGTTGTCGGGAAGGTGCACACATCTTTTGTTATCTTTTAAATGGAATCTTGCTTGTTATTTGTCTCTGCCTTCTGCGATTTGTGGTGTGATTCATTGCCGACAATAAAATCAACATACACACAATTAATTAACGAAATGCTGAACTTTCAATCTCAGCCATATCAATTTGAGGCTTGTTAAATTAATCGAATTTTCTGTGATTTTTTTTATCATATACCTTAACACATTTTCTATATGGGCAGCATTTTGTTCCACTTTAATTGAGAAAAGCAATTGATTTTCCTTCGTTAAGAAATGTTACATTTTCAATTGTGCAAACAATCGCGGTAAAAACCTGTTCACTGTACAATTTCATTCAAAAGATGTTTTTTTAATGATTCATATCATTATGTGCCATTCAATATGTTACATCAAGTGAACTGAAGAGAAAGAAAAGAAACAAGTTTCTAGACGAATCATAGAGCCAACCGTTGCATCTGACATCCGTTGGATACAATGTTGTTAATGTCAAATGTGCATCCAACGTGAAAGCCAGAGGGAGAGAGACAAAGGGCGAGCGAGAATAATGCCAAGAAAATATGTTCATACAGTCAATATTTTACGATGTAATATTTACGGTCAAAACCATATCACATGAACTTTATTGATTTGCTCAAGCTGAAACATGCATTTTCGATTTTCGAAAATGTTGCGGTTTGTACAAGACATCGATAAAATGAAAATGGGAGAGTGAAGTTGAAAATCAATACACGATGTTATATCATAAAGGATTGACTTGTCTGTAGCAAAATCGAAATGAAAAACCGAAAATACATATTATGAAGTACATGACGCAATGTGTGCGTCGCACATTATATTCAACAGGTCATGCTTCTTGGTGATTCAGGTGTTGGAAAAACATGCTTGCTTGTTCGATTTCGTGATGGAACTTTTTTGTCGGGGAGTTTTATATCAACAGTTGGAATTGATTTTAGGGTGAGAAAGATACATATTTTGTTGTTGTTATTGTTGTCATATTTCTTTTTATGTACTTTTATGAACGACATTTTTTTTTCTGGTCTCCTTCCTTTTCTTTAATATAAAAGATTCATGATAAATCCAAGCTGTTGACAGTCTTTTTACTGACTTTTCTGAAAAATTGATTGAAAAACCGAAAGACTATATCGATCGTTAGATATTATAGGAACCAGCCGTTCGGGAGTTTCTTTTTTTTTTTTAAATATAATATTTATGAAATGTTTTTTTTTTCTTGCAAAAAGTTAAATATGAACTCCTGAGAATATTCGTTGGACTTTATTATGTTTTCCTGAAATACGGTTCTTGAAAAAGTTGGTATGCAAATACGGTACATCAAAATATTTTTTTGAGCGTTTTTAAGCCGTGATTACAACAACACTTGTCCCGTTTTTTCGTACAACTTTTTTCAAATTTCACATTTAACTACGCATCGAAAAAAGTCCAACGAATATTCTCAGTCGTTCGTATGTGAAGGGGCTCCTATGTAATTAAATTTGATTGCGCTAAGCTTTTTTTATTGGTAACCTTTGTTCACCTTTGATTTTTTAATGGATTATCGACATTGAATAGAAGTAAATATTGGAAAATTTAGACATGACCAGTTTGAATTCATAACTAAGTTTCGCAGGTGAACATAGTCTCTACGCATGGAAAAAACAAAGGCAGTAATGGAAACTTTATTTTCCTTCGCCTGATGCAAATATGCCGAGGTTATTGAATTTATTTGAATAATTCTAATTTTTCATAGCGAATTTGTCAATTTGTTCAACATCAAATTTACTTACGATAACGAGGAATTTGGTGTCACTAAAGGGTTCATCGTTTAGGTGACAAATGAATAAAAAATCATCTAAATTGCAAAGTACTTTTATCTTTTGTGTTTTCCTTTGAACATTTCGATGTGAGATATTTTTAGTAACGCAATATTCGTCAAATTGGTCAATGACTTTATACGGAAAAAAAATTCACACCAAAACAAAATGTAAACAACGAATCAAGTAAGAGAGAGCGAAAGAGAGAGAGAGAGAGAGAGAGAGAGAGAGAGAGAGATGCAAAAGAAAGAAACACGGAAAAATTATACTACGTAGAATGCGTTGTTTACTAATAAAAAAAATTGGTGTTACAGAGACATAATGTTTATATTTATGAACGGACTACAGGCGTTCATAATCAACGTATATGTTGTTAATGTGCACATGTTCAAGCTTTCCAGTCTATTTAACAATTGGGACATCATCATAATAATAAACTTAAGCGTATAAAATGCCTGAGCATCTGCTTATTGAATAGAAAACGCTAATACAAAAACGCGGGTGTTACAAAAAGTCGACACTTTTATTTTTGTTGATGGATTTTGTTGAAGTGCCAAAGCGAAGAATCGTTTTGAAGAGAGAGGTCATTGGGAATGTCTTACTCTAAAAAAAAAATTATTTTCAACTTGTGTGGATATATCAAAGCGGTCCTGATACCATTATAATGCTTTTTCTTATAACTACTCAACATATATTTGATTAATCTGGTAGTCTGTGTTCTGATGAAAATGCACCGTATTTATTCCCATGTGCAAAAGATATCCCTATGTTTATCTATGGAAGATATTCACTCCATTTACTATAATTGGGTACACTTTTGTGAATCTCTAATATTCCAACAAGGATCAAGAATTAAAAAATATTTCTTATGAAGATCTAATCCGTTGAATTGGTACCTCATCTGAATATACGCTAGCACATAAATCAAGTGGTTGATGAAGCAAACTCTCCCTGCCTTACCGCTTTGCATGAGTAGACCGCAATGTAAAGAATACCATCATCATCATCATCATAATCTATCACAGATAGATATAGCATCAAAAATTGAATGCGAGTGTTTGTGCTTGTGTGTGCGAGCGTTGTCGTGATTTCCGTTTGATGTTGTCGTTTATTTTTCTTCTTGCCCATAATCCTGAATATAAATATTCCGAAATCCGATTTCGAAAACGTTGAGATATTTTCCAGTTAGACTCGAAATGTGCGAATAAAATTTGTGCTGATTGAGGCTGGGGTCTACCTGTTGGAAAATTTCTGTTGAAGACAAATTATGCGAAAATAAGTGTTTGAAAGCCTTTCGTCATTTATTATGAAAAGCATGAGCGTCACCTAACAAACACGTACGATCCCTTCCCCTCCAGCAAGGGCTTAATGCGAAAAAATAAACTTTGGTCCATTGCTCAACAACTGCTTTCATGCACATTACATGGTCGATTATAATTTGAACACGACGGCCCCAGCTGTACTTAGCAAATGACAAAGTATGAGCGTGCGTGCATGTGTTGTCGAGTGTTTAACCATAATCTTTCAATTCGGTTTGTGTGCACAATGTGCAGGCTCTGATTGTGGAAACATCAAAAACCATTCCATGCCACTATTCGATGGACTGTTACACGTTTACACATAGTTTCAACCGTTTCGATATTTGCTGGTCATTTTAACTGGTTGCATTTTCACTGACAGCAACACAGCAACTCGCCTCAAACATCTACAACCTGATGATTGTTTTGCGAACACAAAAGCTTTTACTTGCCAAATAATGACCCAGTGTTGAGAGTGTTGAGCCATTTTTCTTTTCACTCCATGGAAATGCCTGTCAGTAGCAGCAGGCAAGTGCTCATGTGTGCATAATCTCCGTAAGTAATCCTATTATGTTGAGGTAAAAAATAAAAGAAACATCACATCACATTCATTTTCTATTCGGTGGGTGATAATATGCCCGTACGCACATTTATTTTTATCCATCGTAACGTAAATTCGAGCAAACCAAGCGACTCCAATAGATGTGTGACATTTTTATAACGAATAAATCACCAATTGAAATGGAAGACTGGCTGTTGTTATATCAATTCCAATTGTAGCTTAGGTGAAAGACGGAAAGCGATTATTTTTCACAACTTGCCAACAACAACCATGCCATTAAGTTTCGTCAACGCCTCAGCACAAATCACACCGGAAACAAAGGTGAAATAAGACCAAGACCAAATGGTCAAGTTCTTTCCGAAAAATTGATTTTGGCACTAAAATAAGAAAGTAATTCACTGAACGACTTTTTTTTCCAATAAAATCCAACAACCCTTCAATGTTATCTTCAAAGCAACTCTCCAGGTGCTGCTACCTGCTTTGCTTGTCAAAATATGGGCTTATACTTCTTTTTATACAGTCCTTTTTTGTTCAGATTTCTAATTTTTTCTTTTGAATTTTTTACATTCTTCATATTTCGTATATTCGAAAGATGATTATAAGAAAAGAAGGCTATATATTTGTGTCATGAACACATGAAAGTAATAATTTATTGCACACTTCATACAGTGAGCACTTCAAATTCAATTTTTATGATATTATTATTCTTTATGAATGGATTTACGTTTATTAAAACCTATAAATCTTATATGGTATATTCAGATTCAAGTGTTTATTTCATGGAAATGGTGTGGTGGTTGCTGCAAAGAAATCTGAATGCCTCTGCAGATCGTTGGCCAGGCCTGGAGTATGTGTCTCTGCGTGAGTGTAGTAAACGCAATTTTTCAAATTGAGATTTCACAAAATATAATTATATCTCAGTATTTAACGGTGATCCGCATGAGCAGTTGTCTTAAAAGTTAATCTGCTTCGGTTTGCTCAGCTCAAATATCGCTTCGAACATGTGTGTAAATGCTATGATAGTCATAATAGAATTTCATTTAAACATAAAATACACATATTCCTTATTCCTTTTTCCTTTTTCTACAATAAATGAATACAAGCGAGCATATATGCGTGTATATAAAAAAGCGTGTGTCTAGATAGTTTACACTGTGCAGATGGGAAAAGAAGCAAGGTTAGAGATCTTTTCGACAGTAATAAAAGTTGTCGCAAGGAGAGTGGAGAGAAATTGGCTAAATGAACAGTTTAAATCTCTCTCTCTCTCTCTCTCTCTCTCTCTCTCTCTCTCTATAGACATACATATACGTGTATCCATTTCAAAACGGATGTCCAACCTCAGTTCAGTGTGTTCACTGGTTTGACGCCATTGAACTCACAGTCATAGAAAAAATCGCGATTGTTGTTGTTATTCACTCTCTAAACATACATAAATAAATACAGAAACGACTCTTTTATTTCTATTGCATCGATATTCGTCTGGATACAATCTCGAAATGGCAATTGTTTGTTTATGTGTGCACAGTGCACACAGAGTGTACGCATATCAATTTTATGCGCTGAATGGTTCTCCTTTGGTATCCAATATGGAACGAGTATTTGTTTTTGTCATGCCCGTGTGCCGCGAGGCCACTTCGAGAAAATTGCATGAAAAAGGAGTTGAATGGACAAAACCAAAGCGAAAAACCAGCCTCGGCAATATTTAACCATTTTTCCATGCTTTGTGATGAGAGGGAATATGCTCGAGTGAATTAGACAACGAAGAAAAGAAAAGAATGCAATTTAAAATTATTTGTTTATTTTCATTGCTACCCTATATTTTCACATGCACAATTAAATATTCATGTTTTTAGCACTACATGAAATGTAGAGCTACTAATCTGCTTTTTTTTTCTCGGTCAAGTTTGACTACTCAAACAAATGTTGGTGAATTTGAATTATATGCTCATATTCTTTTTTTGATTTAAAACCGGTGCACTAATGAAGATTTAATATATAACACTTCATATATACATAAAAGATTGACATACAATTTTTTTATTTTTCCAAATTATATTTTATCATACATTAGTATCATAGATTTTATTTGTTTCTTATATATTACTTCAAAGTTACTTTGATGAAATACATTTCATGTAGTGCGCCAAAAAATAGTTTGTTGTGAAACAAAAAAATAGATTAAGTAACTAAAAACTCAAGAACGCAGAGCGGAGCGAAGCGAAGCTCTGTGGTCTTGTTTTTCTCTCTCTTTCTCTCTCTCTCTCTCTCTCTCTCTCTCTCTCTCTCTCTCTCTCTCT